GCACATTTAACCTCCTAAGACCCGAACTCTTCCACGACATGCATTTTTAATTTCTCTTTGATATTTGGGCATATTGGGGCCCAATGAATGTAAAAACAAAGAATTACCGGATTTTTTTTTTTACCTTATTTTTGTTTTTAAGAAAAATAAGAGCCACATATTAGGATATTCATTTAAAATTTTGATAGAACAGTAGCAGTATAATGTCCTCGTAAGTGGATATCAGGCCCATGTAGAGCAAAATTTAGTATTTTGGTCTAAATAACCCAAAATGTGAAGTCCACATATGTGGACGCCAGGTCCTAGGAGGTTAAAGACCCTCAAGGTCACCTTACATTATTACAACAAAATAAAAAAAATAAGGTAAACAAAAATAAAAAGTATGTATGTACAAGTATGACAGTATAAAAGCTAAACGAAATAAAAAATGGACTAAGACAGAAAAGTGATGAAGGGTATGCAATTCTGAATACATAGGTTTTAAGATGTGATTTAAAAACAGAGTTAATAGTCCGGAGATCTGGTGGAAGTGCATTCCAAAGTTTCGGTAGTCAGTCCCATTGTAGTCAGGTGAGCAGGTGGAACAGACAGAAGGGAAGCTGAAGAAAAGCGGAGTGTATGTAGGGGTGAGTACATGTGGAAAAGGTCAGGTAAATATGGAGGCGCAAGGTTTTGAAGCGCTTTTTAAGTAAGAAGCAGGATCTTGAAATTGACTTGGAGGTGAACTGGAAGCCAATGAAGCTGTGTTAGAACAGGTGTTATATGTTCAGAAGATCTAATTTTTCATATAATATGAGCAGCTGTATTTTGAACTAACTGCAGTCTATGGAGAGGCTTATGAGGTAGACCAGGGGTAGGCAACTCCAGGCCTCGAGTACCGGTGTCCTGCAGGTTTTAGATCAAACACAGCTGATTTAAATGGCTAAATTACTTCCTCAACATGTCTTGAAGTTCTCCAGGTGGCTGGTAATGAACTAGTCATTTGATTCAGGAGTGTTGACACAGGGTGAGATCTAAAACCTGCAGGACACCGGCACTCGAGGCCTGGCGTTGCCTACCCCTGAGGTAGACCATAGAGAAGAGAATTGCAGTAGTCTAGACGAGATGTGACAAAAGCGGTACAAATATGGCGGTACTGTTTGGAGTGAGTGAAGGATGAAGGTGGTTAATATTACGAAGATGAAAATAAGAAGACCGAGTGATATTATTTATATATGTTGTGAAGGAAAGAGTGCTGTCGAGGATGATACCAAGACTCTTATCCTCAGGGGAAGGGGTGACAACAGCGTTATCAATGGATAATGAAAAACTTTGGTTAGAACTTTAGTCAGTTTTGATTTGGTGCCTATTAGAATAAATTCTGTTTTATTACCATAAAGTTTGAGAAAGTTATGAGTAAACCAAACCTTGATTTCACTTAAACAGTCAGAAATGGATGTGGGTGGGAGAGTAGCTGTGGGTTTGGAAGATAAATAGAGCTGGGTGTCATCTGTGTAGCAGTGAAAGTGGATATTATATGACAATGAACCTCAACAGACTTCAAAGTTAATTACCCCAGTGATTCTACTTTAGAAACATGAACAGGTAGAAACGGAGGCTGCAGTCTAGCTGCTCATCACTGCCTTTGTTTCTTGTTGAAGTTCAGGCTCTGGCTGCTGGGCTGGGGTCTTCATGCACTCAGCTTTAACATCACTCTGCTCTTGGCTAGCTTTGAGTTAGCATGCTATCTGTGCAGATGCTAAATGATTATAGAATTTAGAGAAAAGGTTTTGACATTTTAGCTTTAACTTACTCAAAAATGTGAACTTTTAAAATACTCACTAATTGATTTACTTACAGTCGATTAGTTTATTACTCAATTCAAGGGCTATTAAAGCACTTTAGCTCTAAATCCTCTTTCCTTTTCTTTTCGTTAGTACCTTAACCTCCTAAGACCCGAACTCTTCCGCGACATGCATTTTTAATTTCTCTTTGATATTTGGGCATATTGGGGCCCGATGAATGTAAAAACATAGAATTACCAGATTTTTTTTTAACCTTATTTTTGTTTTTAAGAAAAATAAGAGCTACATATGAGGATATTCGTTTAAAATTTTGATAGAACAGTAGCAGTATAATGTTCTTGTAAGTGGATATCAGTCCCATGTAGAGCAAAATTGAGTATTTTAGTCTAAATAACCCAAAATGTGATGCCAGGTCCTAGGAGGTTAATGGATTGGATAATCAAGACCTTGGGAGACTCACACTAAAACATTTTTACCCCTCATTCACTGGGAACCTGATTCTAAGGCACTTCCCAACTTTCGTTACACAGTTCAGCTGAAACAAGCTCGTACATGTGTCTTGTACTCTCTGTTAAACTCCTGTTTCTGTCTGAAAGTAAAATGAAACAACCTCAACCAGCATTTAGTGTTGTACAAGCAATATTTCAGCCTCACATTCAGAGTCTCACATTTCCTAGAAAACTCATGTTTGAGATAATTAATTTCTTACATAAGCAGTCAGTTTGGTGTCTAGAGTATCTCTCTTCAAATATGATGGTTGTTCCTTTTCTAGGCCTCTTTGATTTCCCAAATCAGCGTTGCTCCCTGGCCAGGATGTGCACATCATCATTGTTGAGAGTCAAGAGTCAAGAGGGCCGGAGGTGTAGACAGCTGTGGCCCGGCGAGGTAGCTCTTCTGTTTTGCGCTTAACCAACAGTTGTTTGGTTTCCCCAGTGTATCATTCACAGCAATCCTGTTGGCACTGAGGGCAAGTCAGAGAGATGATTGTTTTGTAGCCTTAACAGACTGAATTTTTGGAAGATGCTTTTGGTGTGTGTTGTGAGTAGAGTGCAGCATGTTGGTGCTCATGATTCAATGCACCTTGGATTACCGGTCTTCAGTACAAAAGTGATCCAAATGGCCTTCATGTGTGAACTGGCGACCGTGGGAACAAGTGAGGATTTGACTCTGTGAGGATTTCTTTATTAAGACATTGAAAAGGTTCAAAAATACACTTTGTTCTACAAATAAACTGAGTTAGAGTTAAATTTGAAGGTTGACTTAGTCAGTCTTGACTACCTCAAGTATCAAGGATGGAAAGAGTGATCAGACAGTTTTTACTGAAGAACCAATAAATACTATGCTGGTAGTGTGGAGTGTAAATGGAGTTTTAATAAGACTTTTAAATCTAATATTGAGTTCAGTCAAGTAAGCGTGGATCATCGTTTTAACGATGTCCCAGGTATCAGTGCAGACTTTTATTTCCATAAGTGAGTATGACAGCCTTTTAAAACTCATCTCTGTTCAACCATCTTCCTACATCTTGCTACACTTATGCATTTGCACACACACACACAGACCTGACGATAATGCTCACACATTGTCAGTGATGACATTTCGGTTTTTGTTTCTTTCCTAATTAGCAGTCTCTCCGCTCGTCTGGTGCACCGTCGGCCAATCGGCAGAGTCCGCTCATTACCCAGGGGTTTTTTCCAGGGTCTTTGTCAAATGGAGAGTGAAAGTGACAGCTCAATCTAACCTCAGCAATAAGCCTCGCATGGTCGCCTCCTCACTGCTGGTAGAGGGTTCAGCTTGGCTATCATCGAGGAGCACACCGGATGGTACTCTGAAGCTAATTGAAATGCCACCCTGTTATTTCTTTTCATGTCTTTTCTTTCTTTATCTGCTTCTATTTTCCCCTCTTAGTTCTGGATGTCTGCCTTGGCCATCACTATCCCAGTGCCCTCCGGAGCCTTCATGCCAGTATTTGTCATTGGTAAGAAGTAAATGACTACATGTGTTTGTGTGTGTAAAGGGACAGAAGAAACCTAACCCTAGGTTTAACCCTATTCTACAGGATTACGTTTGTGTAATTTAACATATTTACCAAGAAAATCAAACAAAAATAAATCCTTTGATAGTCAGTCATGTTAACGTACTATAAATTACTATATATGTTTGCCACTAATTAAATACAAATAATGTTATTGTATTTCATTTGGGCATTTATTTGGCATTATTAGTATCTTTATTTAAGCAGGAAGTGAAACTTATGAGACCAATCTAATTAGCATTCTAGACTGTCACTGGAACTGCTGCCATTGAATCTGCTATTCTAAGTCTAATTGCTACCCTGCTTTCCTGTCCAAACAAAAGATGCAACTATAACAATCATTTCAAATATCCAGCTCTTAGTTGAGGAGAGAGGAGGCAATTGTCGCTGTAGGTATATGGTACATAGGATTAGGTGATGTCTTTTCACCTCATAACTTTATATCCTCCTGACATTTGACCAGGAACACCACATCCAATTCAGGGTGGTGGTGGAGCCTTAATCCAACTGTGATAGGGTGGGAGGCAGGGTCCGCACCGGACTGGTCACCAGCCTGTTGCAGTGCTAACACAGAGTCAGACAACCATCTTTCTTGTTCACCACCCCTAAAGTACAGTACATGTGTACTGGTGTATAAGAAAGGCACAGTACAGTATTTTCAAAACGGTTGGGGGAAAAAAATCAATCATTTTTAAAAACCCTGGTGTGGCTTAATACCAACGTATGGTCCAAGCACAGTGTTAAATCTGTTACAGTTTTTGTTTTTTTAATTGGTTCATTTCTATTTAGAGAAAGGTTTTTCAAATAAGGAGTGCTTGATGCTGTCGTTCACATGAGAACCAAAGCAGTGGTGTATTGCTCATATTTGGAAACAGCGAGAAAATCATAATCAAATACAGTTATTAAACTTTCACTATAAAACTTTTTAGCAGGTATGAAAGATGTTTGTACTTTTTGACCTAAGGATTTATGTTTTAGTGGTTGGCGTTACAGCATCTACTGGGCCACCACCAATATTGCACTTGCGTAATGGTCTCAATGATTGTGTGTCTCTGTTTCCCTGTGTAATTCAGGGGCAGCCTTTGGTCGTCTGGTTGGAGAAAGCATGGCTGCCTGGTTCCCTGATGGCATTAACACAGATGGTACCATCTACCCCATAGTGCCAGGAGGCTATGCTGTTGTGGGTAAGTTAAAGACACACACCTTTCAGCTGTCTCTCACTCTCCATCCTAATCTACATATTTTTGCTGCAATAAAATACGTTTGCTTTTACAATTCCTCTGTGATTCAGCCTTTGCATTATAAACCTATATACACATTTTTCTTCTTTGCTTTCTGTGAAGGGCTTTCATCTTTGATGGCAAGATGAATAAAAGTGAATGCACAGAAATATTTTCTGTAGCAGAATTGCTCAGTTTTTCAGCTCCAAGTTAAGGTTTTAAGTTGACCCTGATTAAAGGTGACACGGAATATGAACAGACTCAAGTACTCCAGACAAAATCAAATTATATTTATAAGATCTCCAGACCATTCATGACAAAGAAACCTCAGTTTAGACACCAGCTGAAAAAAAACAACCTAATTTCTTCACAGTGGTGTTGTCAGATGTTCATATTCCACTAGAAAGTCTGGAAGTTGAATATCCAAGCTAATGTGCAATCCAGGAGTCCTGTTAAGAAGCAGACATTGTTTTGTTGCTTGGCAAAGGCATATTTTTGTTTTGTGTTGACTGAATAATGTACTTGAACAATATATATATGAATACAAAAAGTGTTAAAAGAACATAATAAGTTAAATGAATATATTGATAAGAAACTGTATTGTTTCTCTGCATTTTAAGTCTGTCTGTATAGATTTCTGAGAAATGAACTCCCAAACATGACACATTATCCCATGTTATAATTTATTAGACAAATGCTAGGCTGTTATTGAGCTTACCATAAACTCCTGTACACCATAGTCTTTGTTTTGAGAAAAATGTGAGGCTATGTGTTCAACAGCTAAGACTTGTTTCAAACTGGATTGGGCATCCACTAGACAGAGTCAAAGCTGAGACCTTAACCTGATTAAAATGCTGTTTGGGGACCTTAAGAGAGCTGTGCATACATGAATGCCCGCAAAAAAAATAATATGACAGACTAATAGCCATGCAAATAATTAGTTATTGCTGCTACAGGTTGTTCTACAAGCTCCTGAACCATGAACTGTACTAAACAATGTGTAAT